CTGGTCTCCCTCTGGTCTCTCTCTGGTCTCTCTCTGGTCTCTCTCTGGTCTCTCTCTGGTCTCTCTCTGGTCTCCCTCTGGTCTCTCTCTGGTCTCCCTCTGGTCTCTCTCTGGTCTCCCTCTGGTCTCCCTCTGGTCTCTCTCTGGTCTCTCTCTGGTCTCTCTCTCTGGTCTCCCTCTGGTCTCTCTCTGGTCTCCCTCTGGTCTCTCTCTGGTCTCCCTCTGGTCTCCCTCTGGTCTCTCTCTGGTCTCCCTCTGGTCTCTCTCTGGTCTCCCTCTGGTCTCTCTCTGGTCTCCCTCTGGTCTCTCTCTGGTCTCTCTCTGGTCTCTCTCTGGTCTCTCTCTGGTCTCTCTCTGGTCTCTCTCTGGTCTCCCTCTGGTCTCTCTCTGGTCTCCCTCTGGTCTCCCTCTGGTCTCCCTCTGGTCTCCCTCTGGTCTCTCTCTGGTCTCCCTCTGTTACATAAGACCATTGTTCTCTGAGTTTACTTTTCTTTCTTGGTGAAGTTGAAGAGGATTCTGTGAAATCCTGTTCTGCTTTTGCTGCTTTGACTCAGAGAGAGACCAGAGGGAGCAGAGAGACCAGAGGGAGCAGAGGGAGCAGAGAGACCAGAGAGACCAGAGGGAGCAGGGAGACCAGAGAGACCAGAGGGAGCAGAGAGACCAGAGGGAGCAGAGGGAGCAGAGAGACCAGAGGGAGCAGAGAGACCAGAGGGAGCAGAGGGAGCAGATGGAGCAGAGCGACCAGAGGGAGCAGAGGGAGCAGAGAGACCAGAGAGACCAGAGGGAGCAGAGGGAGCAGAGAGACCAGAGGGAGCAGAGGGAGCAGAGGGAGCAGAGAGACCAGAGGGAGCAGAGGGAGCAGAGGGAGCAGAGGGAGCAGAGGGAGCAGAGAGACCAGAGGGAGCAGAGGGAGCAGAGAGACCAGAGAGACCAGAGGGAGCAGAGGGAGCAGAGAGACCAGAGGGAGCAAAGGGAGCAGAGGGAGCAGAGCGACCAGAGGGAGCAGAGGGAGCAGAGAGACCAGAGAGACCAGAGGGAGCAGAGGGAGCAGAGAGACCAGAGGGAGCAGAGGGAGCAGAGGGAGCAGAGAGACCAGAGGGAGCAGAGGGAGCAGAGGGAGCAGAGGGAGCAGAGAGACCAGAGGGAGCAGAGGGAGCAGAGAGACCAGAGAGACCAGAGGGAGCAGAGGGAGCAGAGAGACCAGAGGGAGCAGAGAGAACAGAGGGAGCAGAGGGAGCAGAGAGACCAGAGGGAGCAGAGGGAGCAGAGAGACCAGAGGGAGCAGAGGGAGCAGAGGGAGCAGAGGGAGCAGAGCAGAGAGACCAGAGGGAGCAGAGGGAGCAGAGAGACCAGAGGGAGCAGAGGGAGCAGAGAGACCAGAGGGAGCAGAGAGACCAGAGGGAGCAGAGGGAGCAGAGAGACCAGAGGGAGCAGAGAGACCAGAGGGAGCAGAGGGAGCAGATGGAGCAGAGAGACCAGAGAGACCAGAGGGAGCAGAGGGAGCAGAGAGACCAGAGGGAGCAGAGAGACCAGCGGGAGCAGAGGGAGCAGAGAGACCAGAGAGACCAGAGGGAGCAGAGAGAGCAGAGAGAGCAGAGAGAGCAGAGAGACCAGAGAGAGCAGAGGGAGCAGAGAGACCAGAGGGAGCAGAGGGAGCAGAGGGAGCAGAGAGACCAGAGGGAGCAGAGGGAGCAGAGGGAGCAGATAGACCAGAGAGACCAGAGGGAGCAGAGAGAGCAGAGAGACCAGAGAGAGCAGAGAGACCAGAGAGACCAGAGGGAGCAGAGAGACCAGAGAGAGCAGAGAGACCAGAGAGACCAGAGAGACCAGAGAGAGCAGAGAGACCAGAGGGAGCAGAGGGAGCAGAGAGACCAGAGGGAGCAGAGGGAGCAGAGGGAGCAGAGAGACCAGAGGGAGCAGAGGGAGCAGAGGGAGCAGAGGGAGCAGAGAGACCAGAGAGACCAGAGGGAGCAGAGAGAGCAGAGAGACCAGAGGGAGCAGAGAGAGCAGAGAGACCAGAGGGAGCAGAGAGACCAGAGAGACCAGAGGGAGCAGAGGGAGCAGAGGGAACAGAGGGAGCAGAGAGACCAGAGGGAGCAGAGCGACCAGAGGGAGCAGAGCAGAGAGACCAGAGGGAGCAGAGAGAACAGAGAGAACAGAGGGAGCAGAGAGACCAGAGGGAGCAGAGCGACCAGAGGGAGCAGAGCAGAGAGACCAGAGGGAGCAGAGAGAACAGAGAGAACAGAGGGAGCAGAGAGACCAGAGGGAGCAGAGCGACCAGAGGGAGCAGAGCAGAGAGACCAGAGGGAGCAGAGGGAGCAGAGGGAGCAGAGAGACCAGAGGGAGCAGAGGGAGCACAGAGACCAGAGGGAGCAGAGAGAACAGAGGGAGCAGAGCGACCAGAGGGAGCAGAGCAGAGAGACCAGAGGGAGCAGAGGGAGCAGAGGGAGCAGAGGGAGCAGAGAGACCAGAGAGACCAGAGGGAGCAGAGAGAGCAGAGAGATCAGAGGGAGCAGAGCGACCAGAGGGAGCAGAGCGACCAGAGGGAGCAGAGCGACCAGAGAGACCAGAGGGAGCAGAGAGACCAGAGGGAGCAGAGAGACCAGAGGGAGCAGAGAGACCAGAGAGACCAGAGAGACCAGAGGGAGCAGAGGGAGCAGAGAGAGCAGAGAGACCAGAGGGAGCAGAGAGAGCAGAGAGACCAGAGGGAGCAGAGAGACCAGAGAGACCAGAGGGAGCAGAGGGAGCAGAGGGAACAGAGGGAGCAGAGAGACCAGAGGGAGCAGAGCGACCAGAGGGAGCAGAGCAGAGAGACCAGAGGGAGCAGAGAGAACAGAGAGAACAGAGGGAGCAGAGAGACCAGAGGGAGCAGAGCGACCAGAGGGAGCAGAGCAGAGAGACCAGAGGGAGCAGAGAGAACAGAGAGAACAGAGGGAGCAGAGAGACCAGAGGGAGCAGAGCGACCAGAGGGAGCAGAGCAGAGAGACCAGAGGGAGCAGAGGGAGCAGAGAGAGAGAGACCAGAGGGAGCAGAGGGAGCAGAGGGAGCAGAGAGACCAGAGGGAGCAGAGAGAACAGAGGGAGCAGAGCAGAGAGACCAGAGGGAGCAGAGGGAGCAGAGGGAGCAGAGAGAGAAGAGAGACCAGAGGGAGCAGAGAGAGCAGAGAGAGACCAGAGGGAGCAGAGCGACCAGAGGGAGCAGAGAGACCAGAGAGACCAGAGGGAGCAGAGGGAGCAGAGGGAGCAGAGAGACCAGAGAGACCAGAGGGAGCAGAGAGAGCAGAGAGATCAGAGGGAGCAGAGCGACCAGAGGGAGCAGAGCGACCAGAGAGACCAGAGGGAGCAGAGAGACCAGAGGGAGCAGAGAGACCAGAGAGACCAGAGGGAGCAGAGGGAGCAGAGAGAGCAGAGGGAGCAGAGGGAGCAGAGGGAGCAGAGGGAGCAGAGGGAGCAGAGAGATCAGAGGGAGCAGAGAGATCAGAGGGAGCAGAGCGACCAGAGGGAGCAGAGGGAGCAGCGAGGGAGGAGTGGGAGGCTTTTGAGGAAGTTTGAGAGAGAACTGCAGGAAACAGACTTTCATTTGAGAAAGAGAAAGCACTTTCTTTTCCCGCAGCGTTTGAGGCTGAAACAAGTGGATTCATTGATTATCAAAGGCTTTCCTCCGCTTTATCCGGGGCCTGGGCACGGGGGCAGCCCAGTCTCTCCACAGACACCTCCTGCAGCTCCTCTGGGGGAATCCTGAGGTGTTACCAGAGACACAGTCCCTCTGTGTCCTGGATCTCCTCCTGGTCTCCCCCTGGTCTCCTCCTGGTCTCCTCCTAGTCTCCTCCTGGTCTCCTCCTGTGGGATATGCCCAGAGAGGAGACCAGGAGGAATCCCAAACAGATGAGCCTCCTCCACTGGCACCTCTCTGCTTGGAGGAGCAGCGGCTCTACTCTGAACTCCTCTCGTGTGACTGAACGCCTTACTTTTAATTTTAGTGAGAGACCGGGAAGAGACCAGAGAGAGACCAGAGGGAAACCAAAGAGAGACCAGAGAGAGATCAGAGAGAGAACAGAGAAAGACCAGAGAGAGAGACCAGAGAGAGACCAGAGAGTTTACCAGCAGAGGTCAGTGTGAATTTTAATTAAAACACAATTGTCAAAGTTTCTCGTTTTGGAAAATGTTTAATTCTGTAAAATCCTGCTTCAGTCGAATCCTCTGCGAGTTCTCGCTGGTGTGTGTGCTTTGTCTCGCTGTAGTCTCTGGAACAATGGTGTCTTTATGGTCACGGAACAATGAGTGTCAGCGAGAGTCCCGGCTTCAATTTGTGGAATTTGAAAATTAATTTACCGTGTCAATAAAGCTGAGGGACCTAACTTTGGTTTCATAACACAAGGCTGTTATCCAGAAAGAAAGAGACCAGAGAGAGACCAGAGAGAGACCAGAGAGAGACCAGAGAGAGACCAGAGAGAGACCAGAGTGAGACCAGTGAGAGACCAGAGAGAGACCAGAGTGACACCAGTGAGATAACATAGGCCAGAGAGAGACCAGAGAGAGACCAGAGTGAGACCAGTGAGATAACATAGTGAGACCAGAGAGAGACCAGAGAGAGACCAGAGAGAGACCAGAGAGAGACCAGAGAGAGACCAGAGAGAGGCCAGAGAGAGACCAGAGAGAGACCAGAGAGAGACCAGAGAGAGACCAGAGAGAGACCAGAGAGAGACCAGAGAGAGACCAGAGAGAGACCAGAGAGAAACCAGAGGGAGACCAGAGAGAGAGAGACCAGAGAGAGACCAGAGAGAGACCAGAGAGAGTGATCGAGACCAGAGAGATACCAGAGAGAGACCAGAGAGAGACCAGAGAGAGACCTGAGAGAGACTGGACTTCACTTGGATATGAAAACTCGTTATAATTTGTTACAGAGATACATTTTGGTGTTTTGAAAGTAACATCCCTCAGCTTTAATGTTCGGACCTGTGTCTTATGGAAGAAACAAGCACGTTCTAATCTGAACCTTCATTAAACAGTGTTTATTCCACTCTGTAGTTCTGCCTGTGGCCTCTGGGGGAGCTCTGCTGCAGTTCTGCCTGTGGCCTCTGGGGGAGCTCTGCTGCAGTTCTGCCTGTGGCCTCTGGGGGAGCTCTGCTGTAGTTCTGTCTGTGGCCTCTTGGGGGAGCTCTGCTGTAGTTCTGTCTGTGGCCTCTGGGGGAGCTCTGCTGCAGTTCTGCCTGTGGCCTCTTGGAGGAGCTCTGCTGCAGTTCTGTCTGTGGCCCTTGGGGGGGAGCTCTGCTGCAGTTCTGCCTGTGGCCTCTTGGAGGAGCTCTGCTGCAGTTCTGCCTGTGGCCTCTGGGGGAGCTCTGCTACAGTTCTGTCTGTGGCCTCTGGGGGAGCTCTGCTGTAGTTCTGTCTGTGGCCTCTGGGGGAGCTCTGCTTCAGTTCTGCCTGTGGCCTCTTGGGGGAGCTCTGCTGCAGTTCTGTCTGTGGCCTCTGGGGGAGCTCTGCTGCAGTTCTGTCTGTGGCCTCTGGGGGATCTCTGCTGTAGTTCTGTCTGTGGCCTCTGGGGGATCTCTGCTGTAGTTCTGTCTGTGGCCTCTGGGGGATCTCTGCTGCAGTTCTGTCTGTGGCCTCTGGGGGATCTCTGCTGCAGTTCTGTCTGTGGCCTCTGGGGGAGCTCTGCTGTAGTTCTGTCTGTGGCCTCTGGGGGAGCTCTGCTGCAGTTCTGCCTGTGGCCTCTGGGGGAGCTCTGCTGCAGTTCTGCCTGTGGCCCTTGGGGGGAGCTCTGTTGCAGTTCTGCCTGTGGCCTCTTGGGGGAGCTCTGCTGCAGTTCTGCCTGTGGCCTCTGGGGGAGCTCTGCTGCAGTTCTGCCTGTGGCCTCTGGGGGAGCTCTGCTGCAGTTCTGCCTGTGGCCTCTTGGGGGAGCTCTGCTGCAGTTCTGCCTGTGGCCTCTGGGGGAGCTCTGCTGCAGTTCTGCCTGTGGCCTCTGGGGGAGCTCTGCTGCAGTTCTGTCTGTGGCCTCTGGGGGAGCTCTGCTGCAGTTCTGCCTGTGGCCTCTTGGGGGAGCTCTGCTGCAGTTCTGTCTGTGGCCTCTTGGGGGAGCTCTGCTGCAGTTCTGCCTGTGGCCTCTTGGGGGAGCTCTGCTGCAGTTCTGTCTGTGGCCTCTTGGGGGGGAGCTCTGCTGCAGTTCTGTCTGTGGCCTCTTGGGGGAGCTCTGCTGTAGTTCTGTCTGTGGCCTCTTGGGGGAGCTCTGCTGCAGTTCTGTCTGTGGCCTCTGGGGGAGCTCTGCTGCAGTTTTGTCTGTGGCCTCTAGGGGAGCTCTGCTGCAGTTCTGCCTGTGGCCTCTTGGGGGAGCTCTGCTGCAGTTCTGCCTGTGGCCCTTGGGGGGAGCTCTGTCTCTGACTCTGAGGAGATTTATCTTTTCTTTTGTTTTATACAAACCTCAGAGTGTGACGTCATCCTGCTCCTTTTGTCCCTTAAACATCATCTTGAGGATATTTACTAAATCAACTGAAAAGTATAAAGTATAATTTATTTGTATAAACATGTACAGGATAACACAGGGGTCTGAGGTCTCCAACCTGTGGCTGGGGAGCTACCAGTAGCTCTCCACCTCCTGTTAAGTAGCTCACCAAAGCCTTTGTATTTTTCCTTCATGTTGTAAATATGAAACATGTAATAATCACATTCTCTTTATGTTTGTGAATAAAACTATAAATATCATGAAATAATAATGTTGATGGTTCCTTCATGGTACAGTATGTCGCTCCATTTACACTCCTTTGAGGAGCTCTGTCTCATTCTAGTCCTGAGAAAGTAGCTCTCCCAGTGAACAGGAGACCATGGGTAAGACCATGATGAGCCATGAGCACAGGAGAAAAGCTCCACCTGGTGGACGGAGTGGGAATTATCTTCCTGTTGTTTTCACTGATGTTGTTCATGCTGGCTTCTGATTGGCTGAAAAAGTTTATATGAT